GGTTTGGCCCCCGGGAAAATTTTGATTTTAATCTCTCAGCCCGCTTTTTCCCCGGGGAGGAATTCTTTTCCCCAAGGTTTCAACCCCCAGGGGGGGGGGGGCCCTGTTGTTTTGGCTACGCCCGCGCCCCCCCCGCGCCCGCCGGGGGTTTTTGGGGGGGGGCCCCTTTTTCTGGGGGTTTTCGTTTGAAACACAAAGGTTAAAATTTACCCCCCCCCTTTTTTGAAAAAACCCCCCCCCCTCCCCTTTCCCCATTGGGACCAAACCCCCCCCCCCCCCCCCCCCCCCCCCCCCGGGAAAATCCTTAATTTTTTTTTTTAAAAAGGGTTTCCCCGGAAACCCCTTTTTTGGCCCTATGGGGCCCCCCCCGAAAATCTTCCCGTTTTAAGCCCAAACCCCCCCCCCCCCCCCCCGCCCCCCAACGATATTGGATGTTTCGGTTCGCAAAAGCGCCATCACGATAAGCCGCAAGGTCCTCGAGCTGCGGATGAGCATCCACGAAATCACGAGCTCTCTCGGAGGGAACTACGAGGAGCTCTACGGCAAGACTGTCGCAGCCGATGCCGCCGCCGCCGCCGGCGGGGGTGACAGCGGAAACACCACCACCACCAACAGCCGCAGGAGCAGCAGCAGCGGCATCAACAGCAGCAGCCTGGTTGCCAGCCCAAGCATCGGCGGTGGTGACAACTGCTACAACAACAACAGCAGCAGCAGCTACAACATCAACAAAAACAACAACAGAAGCAACAACACCAACAGCAGCAGCAGCAGCATCTTCGGCGGCGGCAACCGTTGGGGCATCAGGGCGTTCGGCAAGGGGGGGCGCTACGGACCGGAAAAGGAAGACGGAGAGGCGGCGGCCTGTTCCTCCCCCTTTGGCTCCTTCGCCCCCGTCTCCCCCGCGGGATCCAGCATCTCCAAGCGCTCCGCTTCCAACCACAGCTCTAGTAGCGCACGGCAACAGCAGCAGCAGCAGCAGCGGGAATCGGCGATTGACCGCCCGTCTTTTTCCTTCGGGGGGATGGGGCTAGGCGGCGGCGGCGGAGCCACCTCGTTCTGGCAGGAATCTAGTCGCACCGCTCGCAAGGAGCCACCCAAGGCCCCCACCTCCCCCGTCCGGCCGCAGCGGGGGGCGGGGGGGTCGTCGTGTGCGAATGATGGATCTGGGGGGGGGCGTCAGGTCGTTGCTAGCGAGGAAGCATCGTTCTGGGCAGCGCTCGAAGTCTGCAGGGTGCGTCGGTCGATGTTGCCGGGGGGGGGGGGGGGCCCCCCCGGGGGAAAGGGGGGGGGGGGGGACCCTTTTTTTTCTGCCCCAAACTTTTAAAACCTTGAAACCCCCCCCCCCAAAGGAAAAGGGGGGCAAAAAAGGCACCTTTTGTGGTTTTTTTTTTTTTTTTAAAAAGGGAACCCCTTCCGGGTTTTCCCCCCCCCAAAACCTTTTGAAAAACCCAAAAAACGGGGCCCCTTCCTGGGGGAAAGGGAAAACCCCCCCAAAAGGGGCTTTTTTAAAAAAAAAAAAACCCCTTTTTACTTCCCCCTTTCCCCCCGGGGAAGAAAATTCCCCCAAAAACCAAGGGGGGGCCTTTTTTTTTTTTTTTTTTTTCCAAAATTTTAAAAAAAAAAAAAATATTTTTCCCCTTTTTGAAAAAACCCCCCCAAA